AAAAATCCCATCTGTAATACAGGAGGCATGTTCTGTAGAAGCCTACAAATTTGACCCAAGAGAGGCGTGTATGTATTAATGCTGTTTGTGTGCTGATCTTATCAGTGCAGACAACTGAGCAAATCTGCAGATGGAGACCATGGCACCCTTCATTGCCCTGATTGTTACAGAGAACAACAGTTGGTGTGGAATTTGTGTCATCATCTCTTTGTGGTTTTATATGGCTAGGTGACTGTGGTGACTAGGCATTCCATAAATCCCCTTCTAATAGTAAATAAGTTCATTTTATTCTCAAATTTATGATGATGATGCAATATTAACATGAGAAGCAAGCGCTTTATTAACCTCCGAATTGTTATCCTGCTTTATTTCAATAATGTGCTCTTCTTAAAACACTGCGATGATACCTGAGGCTGTAAAAATTAATGAAATGATAAAGTGTTTTGGGGGTTGAATGCACTGAATATGTGCTGGTGTTTGGAATTGAACAGAATTGAAAATATTAAAAAATCTAATTTGATTTCCAGGACCAGAAAAGAAGAAAATGTTCTCATTTTTTTCTGATGCACCTCCTATCACTTTGGAGTTAAATGCCTAAATACTTTATTAGCAGAGGTTTTTAATGTTTAATTAAAGATCAGCCTTCCAGGCATTTTGGCTTTTCTTGTAAATGTTCAAACAGGTCTATGGCATTTTTGAGACAGAGCTACTTTCAGTAGTGATGTCCACACAAAAACAAATTTCACAGCCAGGAGAGGCTGTTCATCTGGAGCTTTGAACTGCGTGGGTTTTGTTTTGTTCTGTTGTTTGGTGGTTAAAGACCTCTTGCATTTTTTTAAAAGATTTATTTACTCGACAGAGAGAGACACAGCGAGAGAGGGAACACAAGCAGGGGGAGTGGGAGAGGGAGAAGCAGGCTTCCCGCCGAGCAGGGAGCCCGACGCGGGGCTCGATCCCAGGACCCCGGGATCACGACCTGAGCCGAAGGCAGACGCTTAACCATCTGAGCCACCCAGGCGCCCCTACATCTTGCCTTTTAAATGATCGTGGTATATTTTTGTGAGGGCTCCAGGCATTTGTGATTTTGCCCATTTTAACTCTGCCATCGTTGTCTCTGGAATATCCACTTTTGGTCAACGGTGGCGATTATTGAAGGGTTAGGGAGTGGATCCCAATTGTACAGATTCCGTTCAAGGAGCAGGTTCCTTTCTTGATGGCATCCGTACCCGTTCTCCTTGCTGGCTTGTTGTCTTTCGAATCTTGCTGGTGCTCCTGTCCTTTGCTCCTGTCTTTACAAAGTGCGCCTCCACAACAGCCAAACATGATCATCTCTGAGCATCCTGACAATTGTGCTACTCAGGCAATCAGAAAAGACGCATTGGAAGATGGATATCCTACCTCTCCTTGATGAGCTAACGGACTCCCACCCAGGAGTACTGATCGTTCCTTTCTCTGGACTCCTAAAGCTCTTGGAGTCCACAGCACACAATTCAATGATGGCTGGAAGCTTCGTCCTTTTCCTCAGGATAACTGGTTTTTGAGACACTGAGTGAGAGATAGAAGACTCCAGAAGACTCGGCTCAGTCTTCCCAGCTTTTGCTTCCCCAAATCCATTGTTCTCAGAAGGTATAGAGGATTTCTTTTCCTAAGAGATTGCTGGGAATTTTTAGTTCGGTTAGCTAAACCAAGGAGCAATGCCACTCCTACTCGTGACGGAGTCTCTTTCAGAAATTCCCAGTCTAAATAGCCCAACATCTAATCGTTACTGATATGCTTTATTGTTTTCTAAGTTTCCAGGGCGGCAGATGACTCTTGTTGCCTCAGCTAAGCTATAAACAAATCAAGAACGAAGAAAGCAGAGGCCACAGGCAGCCCATGAATGTTACTTGCTTGATTGATTCAAACAGGTTTCAAAGTTTTATTAAATTTAATCATATTGGTCAACATCTTTTAGGTTGCAGCCTAGTAACACTAATCAATTAATGATCTATTGTCCATTTTTTTTTACTCACATGAATCTTTTTCAAATGTCTCATGATTCTAGTCCACCGATTTCTACCTGCCCCCCACCTCCCACTTTAGGAAGATCATCATGCTCAATTGGGTAAAGAAACAAGGTGTATGGGGGGAAAATCGTGACTTGAAAAATAGGACATTTTATTTTATCTGAGTTTCTAATATCCTACCATCAGAACTGTAGTTGAAGAACAGGTAAAATAGATCAAATATTTACGATGTGCAGTAAGTCTTGGACTGGTGCTGGAACGTTAGCTGGCATTTCAAGCTACAGTAATGATTGGGAACTGCCTCAAAGACCAAAACTCAGCATTGGGTGCCAGAGTTGTAGAAATCACAGTATATTAAAACCATGTTCAGGGTCACCATGATGCAAAGGGTCCAGGGAGAAGCAGAAAGGCAAGCCTAAAGAAGATAGAAATTCGGATGGAGTCCATGGCCAATTTAAGAGAAGTACACCTGACTGTGTTTGGAGATACTGAAATCCTAAGCATCATGTTGGGAATATTTTCAGAGTGTTTGAGAATACAATACAAGGTAAATAAAATCCTGATTTTAAGTGGACTTAAATAGTACATTGCAGAGTGGAAGCTGCCAGACTTGAGGATTTATGGATCAGTAAATTAAAGAGAATAATTAAAGGACCACCAGGGGTTGCCAGCTCTTAATTTTTTCTAGGTGTTATTCGCACTGTTTCCCCCCTAATTAGATTATACTGGGCAATGAGGTTCCCACATTAGATCTAAGCCATAATAGAGTTTATTTAAACAAAGAATGAAGACACATTTCAAAAGATACACAAAGAAAAGTTGATTATCACCATGCAGAAGTTACTGGTTGGCATCTCCTTCACTCGGGATCTGATCCCCTTTCTCTCAGCCCTCAGGCTCCCTTGTTGTCATATATAGAGCCACCTGCCAAAGTCTTCAGCTGAAGTCCAGGGCTGTGCAAAAGTGTGACCTCAAGTCTCACACACCAAGCAAGGATGATAGAGAGCAAACAAAACCATCTGAAATCCTCATTTCACAAAGTGGAAGGCTGTCCAACAGCAGAAATAGGAAGAATTTAATTGAAGATTAAAAGAATTATAAATTAAATACATATATCTTTCTGGAAAATTCACCCCATCCTGACTTTTGTTCATGCCACTGTAAACGGGGACACTGCATTCTGGACTCAAACAACAGACCCAAATATAGGAATCATTGTTGAGTACCATGGTGTTGGCAAATATCTGCTGGAAGGTAATACAAACTTTGTTTAGCCAGATTGAAGGGGTAGTTCAGCTAGATCTTTGAGAGTATCTTTATGATGTATTCCACATAATATATGTAATATAAAAGCTATTAAAAGCACTTCTTTAATTCAATACACACATGTTGAGCACCAATTCTATATCACATACTTAATGTGGCTCTTGGAATATAAAATGCACTCGAATATAAATATAACAAAGACTAATAAAATGTGGAGTGGAGACAATAGAACAAAAAAAATCGAGAACCTGCATTATTCTTGCTCTGCCTCCAAGAAGCCTCATGGCGCTGGGCACTTAGTATCCTATAAATGGGTACAGTAAGGCATATTTGTCCTTAAAAACAGACTTAATTTTCACCATTTTACTGAGTTTTAAAAATATCTGAAGAATCAGAGGCAGACTGTAAAATATAAGAAGCTGATAATGTTTGGAATTCCACCCGTGATGTCTCGTAGTACATATTCTCACTGCGATAGACTTCAAGTGTTCTTCCTTAAAAGCTTCAAAAATGGGACTCTTAATACTAATGACTTATTGAGGTCATCTTTGAAAGTATTCCTAGTATCACCATCTACCCATCTCCTTTTGCTGATAAGAACACAGTCCTCCAGATGTGAAGTGACTGTGTAACTAGTTAGTGGGTAAGCCTCCTGACCTCCAGTTCCTTGCTTGCTTTTGCGTTTGGAACTACACACATGTGCTGTGCATTTCAATCTCCCAGAGCATTAAGGCGTGGTAGGGAGGCAACCTGGTTTTGGAGAGCCGAGGCAGCAGGATACAAGAGGGCAGGTGGCCACAAGGCTCAGGGGATTCTTGCTCTGCTAATCACTTTTTCTGCTTGCCCTGCAGCTCCTGGCCCTGACGTCCCTCCTCTGCTCTTTTGCCCTTGCTAATCCCCATCTTCTTGTTCTCTTGGCACGAGCCTGATTGGACTGATCAGTGTTTTGATGGTGGCTTTGTGTGCTGTGACCTTGGCCAATCAATCTGACCAGCTCTCCCTCCTTCAAGAGGAGGAATGACATAAATTGAAATGCTCGACCAGGGAGCTTGAATTCAGTGCAGCTGTTTGGGCTGGCATTTTATTTTTAAAAATCAAAATTGAATGCCTTTATACTAGACCCACATATTCCAATTTGTTGTACACTCTTTCATTGCCTCCTGGATTAAGTCAGCCTTTTCTGTGGGTTTCTCAGGACTGCCTGGACCCTGAAAGCCCTTGAGTGGGCTACTCGTGGACTAACTGTTTTCCTGACAGACTCCAGCAGGCAGATAAGGATTCCTTTGGGTAGAACTCTCTCATTTTCAGCTTCCTGTGAGTCTCTTTTAAATCTAAAGTGCACTGTAGTGTTTCCCTCATTGGTCAGAGTTAAGCACTCGTATGGCCAAAATCATAGTGTTCCACACTCCACGGGGAGGGTCAGAAGGCTCAATCATGAGAGTGTAGGTCATGAGACCAGTCCGTAGGGGAAAATAGATCAAAGCAACCCAGTTAAAATGCATTATTGTGTGTGCTTGAAGCAATGATTTGCTCTTAGCACTCTGCTTTTCTGGCATACATGTCTAATGTAACATGAGAACTAGTAATATTTGGTAAATCACTGAAAGGTGCCCTTACTTGTGGCAGGATTCCCCCGGATGCAGGACTCCAGAGAAGGTATCAGGTCATGCAACAGTGTACTTCCCCTTTGCCCCAACATGCCTTTCACTCCAATCCTCTTCCGTCCAGGTTGCCAACTTAGCCTGTTCCATTTCCAACAATGAGGAAGGGGTAAAATTAGTCCGGATGGCAGCCACCCAGATTGACAGCCTGTGTCCCCAGGTAAGCCTCATTCACTTTGTTTCAAAAGCCCATTGGTGGCCTAACACTCAGGGTCCTTGCCAGTCAGGCCCTCCTGTCTCTTCCTGACTTGCCTTGCCATCATTCTGGGGCTGTTTCAAGGTCTATCTTTCTCAAAAAGCAATTCTAACTGCCCCAGTCTTCAAAATTACTATGGTAATTACTGTGTTTTCCACTCCTATTGACTTTGTTCTGTTTGTTTGGGGCTGTTATTTAAATGCTCCACATCTATGTACCTTGTCTCAACTAAATTCTAACCTTGTACATGTAGGACAGCAGTTAGCTTTTTACTACCTCTGTGTTGAGTAAATACAACTTGTCCAGGAAACGCTTTTTGAAACTTGAGGCTGATGACTACATCTTACAAAAAAAAAAAAAAAAAAGGCAAACAAAAACTAATGGTAGTTGATAAAGTACTTCATCTTTCATGTTTTTGATTGTCTTTTGAACACTGAGAACCCACTTATCTGTAGAAGCTACAGGGTCCAGGGTTTTAATGTGGCCTTTGACCTTCTTGTTTCTTTCTTGAATAGTGTAGTATGTTTCTGGATATTTCTAACAAATAGGTCATCAATGCTGCTCTCACACTGGCTGCCCGACCACAGAGCAAAGTTGCTCAGGACAACATGGATGTCTTCAAAGACCAGTGGGAGAAGCAGGTCCGAGTGCTGACAGAAGCCGTGGATGACATCACCTCAGTGGATGACTTCCTTTCTGTCTCAGGTAATCACCAGTAGGCCCCTTCCAAGGCAGCTGGAGGAGAACAGGATTAGGAGCATCTTGCAAGGGTCATGGGTGTCTGTTTCAAGTGTTCTTCTTGGCCCTTTGAGCTTTCACTCGTCTCTGCAAATGTGATTGGAACACCCTTTTTGGAAATTCCTTTGTGTGTACATTATTTCAAAACACTGAGCCAAAGCATTTGGGAGGAAAACACAAAATTTCTGATAAAGAGATCAGCAACCTGAAAAGATTCTTTAAGGAGACATGGGTTCTATTTTAGTTCCTAGAGTTTTTAAAGCAGGTTGGCCTTTCATACATCTGAATTACTCATCTTAAAAAAGGGTATGGTATGTGAGATTGGTTAATCCTCGTGGTTTATATTTAAAAATCAAAAAAGCAATCAGCTAGCCCAATTTGGCCATGTTTAAGGGGGTCATTTTTTCCCAATAAATGAAGTTACCCAGGTTTGCATTAAGGCAGGTAGCAATACTAGTCACAGAATGTACCTATTAGGAGATACTTGGGAGCCATGGAGGTTTTGAATACTTATCTATGAGGATGTGTAAGGAAGTTAGAGAAAACAAATAAAACCAGTCATCACTTGAAATTGTAACTTTTTTCTTTGTAGAGGAAGCCAGACTGAAGGATGTTAGTATATTTGAATAACCATGTAGTCCCATTTGACCTTAATGGTACTTATCGGAGCTGTTTCAAAATTGGGCTACCAGCCAGCAAATGGGCCTTTTTCCAAATACCTTTGTCCAAACACATTTGGCACATTTCACCTAGAAGAGTCTCTGTGGGAGGAATGGGAGAGGAGGTTGCTGGAAACATCAGCCTCCTTTGTGAGGCATTAAAATAATCAGGTGACCCTTGAAAATTCAGATTGACCAGATGTTGACTCTACCCACAGGTAGACCTCGCCTTGACCAGGGCCTGCCTGTCTTTGGCCACCGGAGGCCTGAGATGGAAGGGGTTGCAGCTGGTGGGATCCAGGCAGAAGGAGCTTCTGACCGCAATAATTTAGAAGGAATTTCTTGGGGAGGCGCTTGGAGATTTTGTCTAGGTGTAGTCTTTGCTTTTCTGGAAGAAACAGACAATGGGTTCCTCCTGGGGGCTCCTGTTGGAAGCTTGTCTGAGAGCAGCAGAGTCAAATCTGTAGGTCTGATGGATAATTGAAAACCCAACTTTGAAACCATGGAAAGCAAGAGAAGGCAGATGGGAAGAATGAAGAAACACAAGTTGTGTCTATAATTTACCTGACTCTCTGCTGTTTGCTTTAATTCTTACCAAAATTCTGTAAGATAGGTATTGGTATTCCACGTCTTCCTTAGAGTAGACTGAGTCACTGAGGGGCTAGGTAAGTGGGCAGAGGTGGTATGAAAATCCAGGTGATCCTCTTTTTCAGAAGCTATGTAGTTCTCAGTAAGTCAGGAGAGCAGGAAATTTCCTACGGCACATCCAGCTCGCACTGGTTCGCTTCTCCCCACCTCTGGTATCCTCGTTCCACTCTCTCATTCCTTTCAGAAACGTTTCTTGTGTTTCATTCCGAAGGTGGCATGTTTTGGTGACTTTTCAAGGCAGCTATTCATTTAAATACACCCATATTTGGGGGCTGTCTGATAAAGAACGCAATACGTTGCCCTTTCTGGGATGGGTTTTGGCGGTGGCTGAGTCCTAAGCATGTAAAGGGTATCTGAAAAATGCGTCTCTCACGCAGTGCTTAGAAATTGTTGAGATAGGCATGTTGGGGAGATTTGGGTGGTGTGGAATAAATGAGTGGCCACCCCTTGTATCTAGTCAGTCTCTGCCAGGATGACGCTAGTGGCCCCCAGACAGGGCAGGGGCTCTCCCTCACCAGCCTCAGATCTCACAGCAATCCTCATAGCCCCTGGAAATTTGCTTCTGCATCCCCTTTTGCCTGCAAATGAGTAGAAAATATGACTGGACTGCCTTTTTCAAAGACGAATCATTTTAGTACTTAAAACCTTCCCAACTTCTCCTTTTCTTTGAATACTTGTACAAAATTTTCTGAAGGTAGGGAAAAGCAAGGTGAGGAGGTCTTATCTCCGACTGTTTCAATTCTGCCAAGCTTTTTCTTAATTTTCTTCCCCCAGCCCTGCCTCTTTGCCCCCTTTCTCCCTGCCATTCCTTTGTGCATCTCATTATTACCAGCAACAAGGAAAGGCTTTGGCTTCCGCTGATAACACTGTGCAGTCCAACCCCAGTGGTACAAGTTCCGCGGCATGCCATGACAGGAAAATGAACAGGCGCTGTCAGGGAGCCAGCCTTGGCAGGGCCTGCTGGAGCATGCCTTTGGAGTTGACAGTTGGAGGTGGCAGGTACCTTTCCACAGCCGGGCTTGACAAATAATGACACAGTCTACTCTGTCCTGCTGGTAGGCTATGGATACGGCCCAATTGTTGGGGAAACTACTTCTTCTCTCTTCTCCCGAGCTGAAGCCAAAACATTTGCATCAGTAAATTGCAAGTTTGGCCCAGGAGATCTTTTGGAATAGCATTAATGACATTTTATGTATCAGTTTCTTCTTAAGGGAATATCTGTCCTGGCAGGAAACTCTATTTAAAAAAACAAAAACAAAAAGCAAGCAAAGATCTTTGTTTTTTAAAGACTACAGTTTTGTTTGTTCATGCTACCTGAATCTGTGTACCTGAGAGCTTAATTTGTCCATAAGAAATGCAACAAGTTTGAGGAGCAATGATGCTAGCTATTAGCATTACAGGAGCAAAACCAATTTTCAGAAGTGGCCTGGGCTCGTAAAAAAGTGAAATGGCTGTGTTAGAACACTTACGTTTTTCCCACTGGGTAAAAACTACAATTTTTAATAGTGGTTTAAAATGAGTGTCTTGGCATTAACCATGTGACAGTTTAATTCTTGGGTTTGGCTCACATAATAGCAGGCATCTAAGATCGGAAGAAGAGATTAACTCCATCCCATAATGTCCAAGCATTTTGTTGTTTGCCTGTTCTTATTTTTCTTTTGGCTCCAGGGTTTTGAGTTTGTGTGAATTTTTAAAAGGAAACAGTGAACTTTGGTTTTGGATTTAGAATCTGTACCTTTGAGGTTTATAATAAGTACTTTGGTCATCAGTGATTTTTTTATAAGAAAATTACATCTTTTCTGAAATAGTAAGGCTGCAAAAATTCAAGCAAGTTTATTGCAAAATATATTGCAGTCAAGTATTTTATGATATATTTAAAAACCATGCTTCCTATCCAAGTGTAACATCCAAAGAACCTGAGTGGTTTTTCCCAGCCATGGAGCCCTCTCTGGAATACCTATGCTTTTTATTATTACTTTTTCTACTGTATTCTTTTCTAGTTGGGAGAGCATTCCTGTTTTGACTTCTTGAGTTCTTTCTCTTGAAAATACCTTAGGATAAAAATGCATAATGGTCTCCTTTCAATAGACATATTTAGTCAGTGCTTTTTCTTTGATTATCTGCTGTGTATAAGGCACTGTCAGGAATGCAAATATGAAGGAAGGATGGAGTCCGCCTTCAAATAATTCACTGTATCTCTTGATAGATCCTAGACCAGTGTGCTTCCAGACTTGTGGGCCCTACACCTGAGGGTGGAGGGAAAAGGAGAGGAGGGGAGAAGTTATTACAAGGGGCTTGGGACTCCATATATACATACGTAGGATCTTTTGATCAATTAGCATGCCTATATGAACAGGTCCTTTCTTTCTCAAATACATTGTCCATACTGAGCTTAATAAAATGCAAATCTGTTTTGAAACGTTCCAAATCCTAGCTTTTACATATATACCATCCGCCAATATAACTACTATCAGGAGGGAATTGTGATTCATTTTCCCATAAAAGGGGTACCCCTAAATGGAGAATAGTGGAAAATGCTGAGTAAACTATCTTAGCATTTCAAAAAAAAAAGGGGGCTGATTAAGAAAAATTAGTCAATAAATTGTAAAATTTATACTTTATTCACACAGCATGATTAACTAAACTAACCACTGAACAAATTAGTTGATTTTTTGACTAATTAAAAGCAATGCTTTTGATATCCTGGATTTCTAGCTTCTGCTAGCCTCCTTCAAATACATATCATTTAGATCTATTAAAGCATATATTTTTCTGGTGTCCTAATTAAATTAGTTGCACATTTCTAGTTTGGGAAATAGGTTTTAAAGAAAAAAATTATCATTTAATTTTAAGATATTAGGTTATGAGTGGGCTTCTTAGAATTAAATTTTTTTTTTAAATCCACTCCAGAGAGATTATTAGGATCTAATATAATTAACACATTCCATCTCTGTCCTGCTTTCAGGACAGAGATGGAATCTAAAATTCAGTCTATAAACTATGCGTGGAAAGGCAGTAGTGTTGCTGTTCTTCTACTGTTTTAGTCAAAGAAGATAGAAGAGGGATGCAGGATTTTGACATGCAGCCCCTCCCAGTTGCTTACTTTTGGGGACAAGAGCACATTTGAATAGTCTGGCGAGATCCAGCAGGATGGTAAGCTGGGCAGTAAGAGAGGACTTTCAAAATCAAACTTTTGTATTTGAAACCCTGTACCAAGTTTGAGTAAACCTTTTTCTCAGCTGTCCTTTTAAGTGAGTTTGCATGGCACAAACCAGGATCTCGGAAAGGGGTGGTTTTCAGAAGTTTCTTAACCAAACTGAAAACTTCTTAAAGTCTGTATTTTCACATTTGTTTCTGTTTTACTAAGGAAAATGTCAGCATTCAGGAAGCACTACTTTTTGTGAGTTTAAGTCCGAATATTAAAATTAAAATGCCTTTTTTTCTATTTTAATTTTGATTTGAAATTAAAGAACTAGAGAACATAGAAATCAGAAATTCGTAATGGTTTGAATGAGGAAATTCTATTGTGTGAGGTCAAAACAGAGGTTCCATTACGAAAAGTAAGTTATACTTTGCAAGTTTCTGCCTAGGGGCCTGAAAGAACAGATATTCCTTCTGAGTGACTGGCTTAATGAAAGCAGGAGAGATCTGTGGTGGAGACTGGTGGTGGCTCAGTACCTTTCCCTCTTTCCCTATTTAGGAATTTTTAATTCAGAGCTAGCCCGAGAAAATTCTCAAGGAGGTAATAATTTATTTTAATCCTTTATTAACTATTTATTGAATTTGGCGGTTATAATTTTTAAAAGTTACCAGATTATTTAAGATTATTTCTCACTTGTTCTCTTTATAGTGGGTGTGTGTATTTTCAGCTTAAGTTCTTTTCTTTCCACAGAGCACTAAACTTTTTCAACATTTCCTTAAAATTCTGTTTCTAAAGAGTGTTCAAGGGACATAATTACAGATCTCACTTTGGGCATAAGAAATACAAAATTGCATACATGCAAAACCATAAGGGACCAAATTGCGTGCTTTTGCTATGCCACTAGAGAGTGAAACTCGCAGCCTGCCTGCCTGGATTCTGCTTTGGGCAATGAGGGAGAGTGATCACTGACCTTGACTCTAATCTGAGGGAGCCAGCCACGAGACTGGATTATATTTTACCTGTGGAATACACGGTCATCCCCTTCATCTGGTCTATTTTCCTGTTGTATGTACCTTGTGCATGACATGACATTAAAAAACTGATTGGGTGGTATTGGTCATTTTAGAGTTTCCCTTAAATGTCTCCTTAATAAAAACATGATCAAACAAGCATGCACCCTGAGCTTGATTCCGGTCATGTTTGGAAATGTTTCTGCCTGATCAGGTTGGCTTCATGTTCACTGCCACAACCACTTTTTATTTTATTTTTTTAAGATTGATTTACTTATTTGAGAGAGAAAGAGTGAGAGTGTGGGTGTGCATGTGTGTGGGGGGGGGGCAGGAGCAGAGGGAGAGGGACGAGCAGGCTCCCTGCTGAGCAGGGAGCCTGAGCAGGGCCGGATCCCAGGACCATCATGACCTGAGCTGAAACCAAGAGTCAGATGCTTAACTGGCTGAGCCACCCAGGCGCTCCTGCCACACCCACTCTTAAAATGCAATAAATCCCAAATATTAAAGGGATGCTCAAAGTATGATGTTGAAAGTATGGTCCCCAAACCCACAGCATTAACATCACCTGGGAACCAGGTAGAAATGTAATTTCTTGGGCCCACCCCAGACCTACTGAGTCAGAAACTCTAGTAGGAGTGATACCTTGGCATTCTGTATGATGCTGTGAGCCCTCCGGCTGGTGCTCAAGTTTGAGAACTGCTACTGTAACTATAAAATATACTCTTTAAATGTTATTTCAGTGTTGTATGTATTGAGATGTGCAAGGTGGATGGCTCATGAAGTTGATGAATCTCTCTTAGGTTGCTTATTAAGTGTGTGAGTGGTATAAAATCATATAAATATGTATCTGTTTCCTCGGCAGAGAATCACATCTTGGAGGATGTGAACAAGTGTGTGATAGCCCTCCAAGAAGGGGACGTGGACACCCTGGACCGGACTGCAGGGGCCATCAGGGGCCGGGCAGCTCGAGTGATACACATCATTAATGCTGAGATGGAGAATTATGAAGCTGGTGTTTATACTGAGAAGGTTCTGGAAGCTACAAAATTGCTCTCTGAGACAGGTAAACATGGATATTAGATTCAAACAAAATGTCAATGCCATGATTAATTTCCATATTGAATTAATCTTTTTCATTGTCTTTTATACGCCTCTGTGCTTCTAAATTACACCTGATCATAACAGAGATACTCTTGATTTCTTGAGTTTGAATTTGAATAACTTTAGCAGAATAACAACTTTATTGCTTTGCATGTACATATTACTTTATAGTTTTCCCCTATAATCTCCCTTGATTCTCACAAGGGCCTTATGAAGTAGGCAGATTTTTATTATCTGCAACTATGCATATGAAAGTGGAGGTTTAAATGACTCAAGAGACTGGAAAAAGATCACAAGTCTAGAAAACAGTGGAGATGTTATGGGGACTTGGAATCTTGAACTTGGAACCATTTCTCCATCTATTTCTTCAGAAGATAGGACCTTGAGGAAGGAGAAAGCATAAAGGCTGTAGGTAGTATCTGGATATGAAATGCTCACAGAAAGGGGGTGGTAGCTGCCAACAAAGGGTCAGAGTTTGAATATGTGCCTTGCTCCTCCAGGAAAGCCTTCCATGCCCTCTTCCAGATCATGTGCTGTCCACTAGGGGATCACTGCTGTGCTAAGACTGGGTTACTCATGGGAGCCTGTCATAGCTCTCTGGTGCACTGGGGTGGAGAAAAAAGGCTTACTTTCACTGAGTTAGCAGAACAACCCATCCCTTTGAAAAGCTGTGTCAAAGACTGACCTATTTTTAGTAGTTTTTACTCTTGACTAGTGTCACTGGGCTTCAGACCCTTTCTCAAGTCCCTAATACTGTGTGTGTGTGTGTGTGTGTGTGTGTATTGGGTGGGGAACAGTGGTTAGAAAGTTCAGGGAAGGAAAGAACACAAAGGGAAAGAAAAAGAGAATTTAAGTTTACTTTGGATGGGGTTGTGAATAGGAAACGAACTGAGTCCTATGTAGGCAAACAAGGACCTCTCCTCAAACTTCATTGTGGGCCTTTCCTGGTCTGTAGATGGACTGTGGAAACTATTAGGATTTAAAAAAACAAATGTGTTTCTGAAAGGTCACATAAAGCAGTGTTCCAAGTTCTACATGAAACAATATGTTAGTTGAAATAGGTTTCCTTCTACAGGGAAAAGGTTATTTACAAAGACTCCTGTAGATGTTTGTTAGTCTGAAATAGCAAGGAAAAACAGCAATAAACATGGACCTTGGTTGTTCTCTTTGAAATATAAGCAGAAAGGGAATGGGGTAACATCACATCATAAAGAGCACATCTGAGGATTGTTGCTCTTGAGAATAATCACAGACTTAGAATTAGAAATAATACCAGTAAGGATACTAAGATATATCTGCATTTTAATTAGTTGAAATTTAGCACTCTTTTCTTTCAAATAGGCTTGTCATTTGCATTCAATAAAGCAGCACAAAGCAAGTGCTACAGTTTCTTCCCTCACTGGGAAGAATTAGAAATAGGCATTTTACTCTCTGGTATGAGGACCTTTTTTTTTCTTCACCCTTTAGAGGACCTCCTCACATTTCTGTGGCTCTCAGTTTCTGGCCCTTTAGCTGTAATCTGTTACAAAGTCTCAGCTTTATGTGGGGTATTGGCCACATAGCACTCCCTTGGGTCTGACACTGGGGAAGGAGTAGCAGAGAAGGGTGGAAGGCATAAAGACAGGACTTTCAACGCATGCCTGCTCATGACTGGGTGGAATGCTCATTGTAATAGTTGAAAGACACAGAGCATATTGCCAATTTACATGTGACTTTGTGCACACCAAGAACTCAGGCATTGTTTAAGAGACATTCTGGAGTTGTTTTTGCATTGTATTTTGGGCTGCTTTAATAAACAGAAGGCACAGTGCCCATTAGGTCAAAATCTGCTTAAAGGCAAGGGCAACATGCTTAGTTGGTTGAACTATTTTTACCTAATTTCACTCAAACTCTTGAAATGTAAATAATTTTCTGGTTGCTTTTCTTTCTTTTTTTTTTTTTTAAACAACAAAATCAATGAAATATGAAACAGAGCCATCCACCCAGGATTGTTGTTGCTCATCAAGATTTTTCTCTTAGTTGTTCCTAGTCAGAGCTTTTACAACTCTCATTTCAACCCTTCATGGCAGTGACTGAATACTCTGGGGACTTAACTGAAGATACCTTTGAGATTCTGGTGTTCACATATAGTTCTTAATTGAACAGAGAAGATGCACAAGGCTCTTTAAAATTTTCAAGAACTATTGATGATAACTAGGAAAGTAATCAGGTAGAAGAGATTGAAATAGTTTCTACACAACTGTAATTGAACATACAGGAATATGTGTCAAGGAAAAGTAGATGTTGTTGGGCTCAGAACTAGAATATACAATGTATATACATTCTTTTGCTTCTTTCTTCAGTTTTCTCTTTCCTAAACAGAAACAATACTGCTTCTTAGGAGTAACTAGAGAGGTTGTCAAAGAAATGAAAGCAAAAGCTTGAACTGTTAACTCACCCATGCTAATGAGAATTGTTAGGACTGTACTAGACACTTGGAGTTGGAGGGAGCAGTTCTGCGATTGTGGTCGTGCAGTTTTGTTCAATTAGTCTTTTTGTCACTGGCTGTGCTCTGGAGACCTATGTCCTAAATATAAAAACTGCCGTGCATATCATTAATACCCAGATTTCTACCTTTGGGCTAATGCTTTGTTTCTGATTTTTTTTTTTTTTTTAATGAGAGCCACATTGAATTGTTCACTTTTTTTATATGAGCTTATTAAACTTTGTCCTGAGAGTACATTTTATTTTGGGGATAGAACACAGGGGTAGTGGGCAAGGAGGGAGAAGGTACCAAAAGGAAGGATGAAGAAAAAGAAGAGGAGTCCAGAATACGGAAGACAAAATGTCATGTTTTCTTCTGCCTGCCACCACCTACCAGATTCTACCCAGTTTTACGTCTGAGTTGTTATATCCTAGAACTTAAGGCAGAAGTTCTCAATCTCTGTACCACTGACTTTTTAGTTGAGGTAATCATTTCTTGAGGGAAGGGAGCTGTCCTGTGCATTATAGGATGCCTAGCCCTGCTGGCCTCTACCCACTAGATGCTTAGAGGACTTCTTTTCTTCCCCATTCCAAGTTGTGATCATAAAAGTCATAAAAGACCATAAAAGTATCTTTAGATATTGCCAGATGTCCTTGAAGGGTGGGCAAAATAACCTCCATTCAGGATAGCTGCTCTAAGGGGAAGAAATATCCCCAAATAGCGACAAGTTCAAACAAGGCAAAATGGATCTTACGTACCGTGGCCATAAGATAAAAGACGTGAAGGGGGTGGGGCAAGAGAAGAATTACATATATATTACAGAGAAGAATCTAAAAAAGGGCTGAACATTCCAAGTCTTGACTAGACCAGACTTTGCTGCTGAAGGGGTTTGCAAACATAGGCCAGCCCCCGTTTAGACATGGAAATGTTGCCAGGGACGGCCTCTACAGAAGGACTCCCATTTTACCACCTGGCTGCCTTCTCTGAGTGGCTAGAAATTGGAAGGGATCCAAAGAGTGACATAACAGTCTGTAGTTGATTCTCCATGAATTACTTTACTTTCTCAGTAAAGATAGTGTTTTGTTGAAGAGTTGCTTTTTGTGTTTTTATGAATGCTGAATTAAATTTGTGAAAATAATTTTGTGGATTGTTAGTATGCTAAAATCCTAGGGCAACATTATATAAAAATTTACCTTTTTTTTTTTTTTATAAAACTGTCTAGGGTGATGAAAACACAAACCTGATCTACATCAGACCCATTAAACACTTACATAGTATATTTGATGGGCTCTTCAGTAAAACCTGAATTATAACAAATTGCCAACAGCATGCACAGTTGACCAGACCCATCTTCAGAGATCTCATTTACAAAGTCAGATTGCTCCAGGAGGTTGAGGGGGGGGTGGAAGTACATTCAGTCATAGCATATTTAGATGTATAAAGAGTAGCTCATCTTCACCAAATGGATGATATTGAAATGTCATTTTTATAAATTTGATATCTGATACAAGCTTGTGGCAATGTGAATGTGGTTGGGTTGAGAGATCTTTGAGATTCTGCTGGCAGTTCCCTCTTCAGAGGGCACAGATAAAAAGGGGTGAAAAAAAAGGAAATAGGAAAAAAAAAGTATTTTAAATGAGGACTCCATGTTAGTGGGCACTCCATATGTGGAGATTAAAATTCCAGTATTTTGGAGAACATGTGGTCCAAACAGATGGTATAGTTTTTCTTTCTTTCTTTCTTGCTTTCTTTCTCTCTCTCTCTTTTTTTAATTAAGACTATTTTTTAGAGCAGTTTAATGTTCATAGCAAAACTGAGGGGAAGTACAGAGATTTCCCATGTACCCCTTGACCCCACACATGCATAGGCTCCCCTGTGATCAAAATGCCCTACCAGAGTAGTACATTTGTTATAATTAAAGAGGCTGCACTGACCCATCATAATGGCCCAATGTCCATAGTTTATAGTACTGTTCACTCATGTTATACTTTTTGTGGGTTTAGACTAATGTATAATGACCTGTATCCATCATTACGGTATCATACAGTATATTTTCACTGCCCTAAAAGTTACCTGTACTCCACTTATTTATCCGTGCCCCCCCCCCACCCCTCACCCCTGGTTCCACTGATCTTTTTACTGCTTCCACAGTATTGTCATTTCCAGAATGTCATATAGTTGGAATCATGTAGCATATTGCCTTCTTAGATTACTTCCTTCACTAAGTAGAAATGGTATAATTTTTACTTCTATGCTTTTGTAAAGTTTTCATAAGAACAAAGAGGAACTTTTTATACCATTTCTATATATTTTGCCTAGAAAATGTAAGAGGATCAGCAAACAGAAAGTATCAAACTTGGAAATAGTAATGAGTGGTAAAGCTGTGTCAGTGCAATGTAGTTGAACAAATCCAGATTAGGAATCAAAAGAACTTCATTCTTTGACTTCTGGCAACTAACTATAATTTTAAACTAGTCAATGCCTCTGGGCCAGAGCTT